TGAAAAATTTTATAAAATAAATTTGACTTAACTCGACTTGAAAAAAACAAGTCAAATAGAGTTGATCTTTAAACTCGACTTAACTCAACTCATTCAGAACTCTACTTCTAACTCATAAGATTCTTGAAGCTAAAAATATATTAAATAATTAATTAATATTAAATTATTAAATTTAAATAAATAAATTACTATTTAATTAATTTATTTCTTACTACATAATTTTGCTTAATTGTTTTTTAGTTATTTGATGCTTACTACTTAAATAATCTATTAAAATGCCTGTTAAACTTCCATGCTGATATTTTTTATCACATATTTTACTTATGATAACCTCTACTTAAGATGTAGCAATTCTATCATTAGATACAAACCAATCTCATACCCAACTTCTTTTTTGTGACCCTCCTCTTTTTTTTGAATTTTATTTAAATTATTTTGATTATTTTTAACAGAATTTAAATCCATGTATATAAATTTATTATAAATTTATTATAAAAATGTGAAAACTTTTTACAAAAAAAAAAAGAAAAAGCGTGTGAAAAAAAAGTATGTATAAATCAAAAAAAAGGAGTACATGTAACAAATATTTTTATGAAACAACCAATCTTTTTTAAAATTAGATAAAACAAAAACTTTATATAGAAATTTTATAGAATATCTTAATTAAGTTGTTTTATAAAAGTGGATCTATCTTTTTTTAATTAGCCATTTAAAGTTTGTGTAAATTTTACACTAAAATCAAAGAAATATTTATAGTATCATTCTTAAATCAAAAAAAGTAAAATTTATCTATTACTTTTATAATCTAAGTAGAAATTACAGTCCAGGAAGGCATTTTCTAAAGAAAAGAAGCAAAAAGAATGATAATGGTATTTTAAAGACAAAGAAGAAACAAAAACAATCTCCCATATTACTTACCTTCATAGTCCAAGCTAAAATCCAGATCCAGAAAGGCGTCCTCTAAAGAAAAGAAGCAAAAGGAACGTTAATAGCATTTTAAAGATAAAGAAAAACAAAAAAAAAACCACAAGAAAAGAAGCAAAAAGAACGTTAATAGTATTCCAAAGATAAAGAAATAAAAACAATCTTTCACACTACCTTACCTTTATAATCCAAGCTGAAATTCAAATCCAGAAAGGCATTTCCTAAAGAAAAACAAAAGGAACGTTAATAGCATTCCAAAAATAAAGAAATAAAAACAATCCTATACCACTTTACCTTCATAGTTCAAGCAGAAATCCAGGTTCAAGAAAACGTCTCTTAAAGAAAAGAAGCAAAAGAAACATTAATGGCATTCTAAAGATAAAGAAGAAATAAAAACAATTCTCTATACCACTTATCTTTATAGTCTAAGCTGAAATCCAGATCCAGGAAGATGCCTCCTAAAGAAAAGAAGCAAAAGGAATATTTATAGCATTCCAAAGACAAAGAAAAACAAAATAAAACTATAAGAAAAGAAGCAAAAGAAATGTTAATGGTATTTTAAAGATAAAGAAATAAAAATAATCCCTCATACTTACCTTTATAATCCAAGCTGAAATCCAAGTCCAGAAAGGCGTTTCCTAAAGAAAAGCAAAGGAATGTTAATAGCATTCTAAAGATAAAGAAACAAAAACAATTTTTAAATCACCTTACCTTTATAGCCCAAACTGAAATCCAAGTCTAGAAAAGCGTTCCCTAAAGAAAAGAAGCAAAAGGAATATTAATAGTATTTCAAAGACAAAGAAAAACAAAAAATCACACAATAAAAGTAGTAAAAAAAATGTTAATAGCATTCCAAAGATAAAGAAGAAATAAAAACAATTCTCCATACCATTTACCTTCATAGTTCAAACTGAAATCCAGGTCTAGGAAGACGTTTCCTAAAGAAAAATAGCAAAAGGAACGTTAATGGTATTCCAAAGACAAAAAAGAATTTCCTACACCACCTTACCTTTATAGCCTAAGCTGAAATCCAGGTCCAGGAAGGCATTCTCTAAAGAAAAAAATAAAAGAAATGATAATAACGTTCTAAAGACAAAGAAAAAACAAAAACAATCTTCTATATTACTTACCTTTGTAATTCAAGTCAAAATTTAGGTCCAAGAAGACGTTTCCTAAAGAAAAAAAGTAAAAAGAATGTTAATAGTATTCTAAAGGCAAAGAAAACAAAAAAACCCACAAGAAAAAGAACATTAATGGTATTCTAAAGACAAAGAAAATCAAAAATAATTCCACATACTATCTTACCTTTATAGTCCAAGCCAAAATTCAGTCCAGAAAGACATTTCCTAAAGAAAAGAAATAAAAGGAACGTTAATGACATTCCCAATAACAGAGAAATAAAAACACTAACTTACCTTTATATCCTAGCCAAAATTTAGGTCTAAAAAGGCGTTCTCTAAAGAAAAGAAGTAAAATGAAAGTTAGTAATGTTTTCAAGACAAAAAAAGGAAGAATTTTGTACTTACCATTTGAATTCAAGCCGTTTAAGTCAAAATTTAGAGTAAAAAATCCAGGAGAAGAGAGGGAGAGAGAATAGAAAGAGAAAGAGTGTGTGCATATGAGTATGTATATATATGTGTGTGTATGTGTGTATGCATGTGTGTGTATGTGTGTGTGAGAGTAAGTGATGTAATATGTAGATTTAATATTATCATTATTGTAAAAAAAATAAAAATAAAAAAAATTTTATACTTACCTAAGTCGAATTGACCATCCAATTTGTTTACCAGATATCCAATGATCCATCTAGTTATTCCAGTGATATAAACAGATTAATCTGAATCTGGTCAAATTTTAGATGAATGATCAGATATCCAGATTGATCAGATTCAGAGCATACCTCTACATTATAGTAATAACTTCAAAAATAATCATAGAATCTGTTACCCATTTTATATAATAACAATTTTACTTATACCCAATTTAACAACTAATTAAAAATTTTTTATAACAATATTATTCAACTTAAATGATTATTTATCAAATATGCTTTATTTTAATTTTTTACACGTAATGCAAAATCTAATATTTTTCAATTACATTAATTATTATCAAAATACTATATATCTAACTCTAAATTAATATTTTACTTAAAGTATCAGCTATGTTTAATTATCAATTGAAAATATAATAATATATTTTCAATACATTATAATTTTGATTACTTGTCTTATCTACCATTTCCGTTCACAACTCACCATCCAGTTTATCATTCCAGTATTTCATAACAGACACTCTGTTAGAAAGGTTTAGTAAATCTCTTTAATTATGTAAGATGAATAGTATAAGTACAAAGGAGTGCAAGTTATCAGATGCTTTAGAATGATATAGTCTAAAATTGTTATTTAAAATATCAGATAAAGCAAATAAAATTGTTTCTTTATAAGATACTAGTTTATTAGAAGATTTGCGAATTGCTGAATCCTAATCAGCAAGTATAACATTATCATTAGTATCTAATAATATGTTAAATAAACGTACATTCTGATAAAAAACTTTCTTATTATGAATACATCTTAAAAGGTTAAAGAGCTGTAGAACATGATGTTACTAGAATTGATAACTGATTTGTTTACTAACTGGGGTAATAATCAATGATTTTTGATCATGTGTAATATATATCAGAATGTTTTGAATCCCTTTCTTATTCAAGTCTTTTAAAATGTACACCTCATTATTCAGGTGAAAGCTATCCTTAAATATATTTATAGTAGATTGATTACCATCAATTTCAATTATATATACTATTGATGATAAACCTACACTTAAATATTTTTTAGACATATTCTTGTAATATCTGAAGTTGATGTATCATGAAAATTGACACTCTTAGAATTAGATATCTTTGTAAAAGGTGATCCATTATTAAATAACATCTAAAAAGGTACAAATCACTAATGAAAATAGTCGTAAACTCTTTATATTGATTAACTTTCCTATCAAAAGCTATTACGTAAAAATAAAACCCATCTAACAGGAATAATGTAAAATTTTCATAATATTTGTTGCTGAATAAGAATATTCATAAAATCTAATAATTGTTCCTTGTTTTTATCAGCCAAACCACTCAAACTCTTTCTTTTTTTATTTTAAGAATTGTTTGTATTAACGTGAGGACATAGACATCATCAATAGCATCCTCTTTAAGAAATACGCTAAAATCTGGTAAATATCTATCAAGATATATCCTTCTATATATGTTTATTACTAAAAGCTTCTTTTTAAAGGCTGAAAGAGTATCCATCAGGCCATTGAACTAAGACTGAACTTTTTCCTCTGTATCAGTTAGTATAGGATTATTTCTTTAATAGTTAGTGACTGATTTATGTCTAAAGAATTCACCAAGTATAAAGTTGGTATTACAGAAGAAGTATTTCTGATTAACTTTTTCAAATAAGATATTCTGATAAACTTTTATGTATTCCATAGAACCTGAAGTATGCAAAAATATGAGATCAATAAAAATAAAATTGTCAAAACTTTGCATTTGAAATAAGCACATATATAATTCTAAACAGAAATAAGCCTATTATTATTTCTATCAAGTCGAATCAATAATTTTAAGGCTTTATTCACAAATTCCAAATTTTTATCCAGAACTGCTAAGGTTTTTCCATAACTGTTGAGGTTCTTTTTAGAATTTCTGAGTTTTTATTTATAACATTCAGAATATTTGTAAATAAATTGATAAAGCTATCAGATACACTCTAAAAAAACAATATAAATATAACGTATTGAAATTGCAAATTTATTATATTAATAAATATACCATTCTTCTAAAGTCATCTGTGAAATTCTTTATGAAAGCTTAAAATGCCAGAGAATGAAAGATGTTTAATAAGCCAGAATACATTTATTTGAGTTGAATAAATATATTATAATGTACTTACTAGTAATAGGTTATTCTATGATAATGCGAATGTGATTTTAACGATAAAAGTAGAAAGAAAAGCATAAGAATAAGTAAGTATTCAGTATTATTTGCAAATATGATACAGTGTGAGTGAAAATGAAGTTCACTTACTTTCTTGAATTTTATTAATAAACTCTAATAATTTTACAGCTGGTCTGACTGAAATGCTTAAAGGTGGATTTACAAGCATTTCATACTTTAGTGCAAGGAATGTATTACTCATAACCCTCTGATCATATAGTTTATTAATATCTTTATCTTTAAGGTCTAGTTCTTTTCTCATATTCAAAATATTTTTAACGTTATCTCGACTCTTAACTTTTACTTCTTTAACTGTCAGAAGATTAACAGTTGCAGAAATATTAGTATAGGAACTTGTAACATTAGATATGATTTTTGTAATAACATAAATAGATAAATTTAGAAAAAATTTTTCTGGGTAAATACACCTAGTCATGACAAATTTTAAGTGATAAATTTAAAGTGCATATAATAAAATAAAGTATAATATAACAATTTTCTTTTTTTTAATTGATCTACTATTAATTTTTTTTAAATGTTTAATTGTTACTTTGTAATTATATTTTCAAAATATTAATTTTTGTCTTCAATTCAATTTCAAAAATCTTTAAAGTGTTAAATTGCAAAATAATTGGATTTAAAGAGGTTTTGAATATAAAGATAAAAGTCTCTGTTCTTATAACATCCTCATCTTATCTCTTTAACTCTCCAATATCTATTAGGATTCTTTCAATTAAATCATATGTCAAAGATGATGATCTTTGTGATAAGATTCCAATGAATTCATAGAAATGACTTACAAAAGCAAAGAGAATATTGATGTGCCTATAATGCCTACTTCTGTGTATTTTTAATATAGTAATTTTAAATGGTATAAATACTACAGTTGTTAATAGTAGGGATTAAAATCAATTTAAATATTTAAAATTAATTTAATAATTGATTTAATCGTGATTATTATTTCTCAAGATTCGATTCTAAGATTTAATTTAATTTATTGATTATAAAATTTGTGGTATAGTAAATATTAAAATTAACTAAATTAAATTAAAACAACTTGCAAGGATTAAACATAAAAACTAAAATAATTAATTAAAAAATTGTGAATATTAAAATTAAAAAAGATTTAGAATTAAAAAAAATATATATCTGAAAAAAATAAATAAATTACATTTAAAAAAAATAATTAAAAATAAAAAATATTTTGATTTTAAAAATTTAATTATAATAAAAATCAATTAATATAAATTTATCATTAAAATTAAAATTAAATAATAATATATAATTATTAGTTAATGTTAAAATTAGGAATGAATATTTTAAATTTACATAGAGTTGCAAATAATTTTTATCAATAACTTATATTACTTTATTATATATATGTTATACGTTAACTATAATTTTGCATCAAATACTGACTGGTCTAAATTATAGGCTATTTTGGGCTAATATTATAATGGCTTAAGAATATTTGGCTAGCATTAGTTATCTGACGTATGTCAACTGTTATTTGACTCAAATCGACATCTGATGCACAATATATATATATTAAAACTTTAAAAATTAAGTTTTTAATAATTATTTCACATTGCATTAGCAAATCTTTAAGATATTATTTTGAGTAAAACTATAGTTTAATAATTATAAAATCAATTATTTTAATAATACTATATAATTTATACAATTTAATGATTTAAATTATAATAATTAGTTATATTTAATTAATGTATATCCTTTTGATCTTTACTTTAATTTTTGTAATCATATATAAGATCTTAAAGAAAATAATATTATATTAGCCTTTATGTTGTCTTAATCTACCAGCTATTGAAAATTCTTTACTACAAATTTTATAATAATATTTTATTATAGTTATTTTTTTCTAGAATAGTCACAAAGTTAATTGAAGTAATGATTTATTTAGAAATTTAATTGTGATATTTTACTGATATCATATAAATTGATATTTTAATTAATTAATTAATTAATTAATTATATCAATAATCATATCATGCTAAAAAGCTACCTTTAAAATCATTTATATAAATATTTTAATAAATATTACAATATTTAAATTATGAATTTCTTTTTTTTTTAATTTTTAATTCGATTTAATTCATATACTTTTAATAAAAACTTTTTCTTTAATTTCTTTCTTTACTTATTTCAAATAATTATCTTTCTTTTTTTGCTTATTTTAAAAATTAAAATTTTTTCTTTAACAATTCCTTAATTTTTCTCTAACTTACTAATTATATATAATAATAAAAACAAAAAAAAATTCTAATTAATGAATCATCAATTAAAAAAGTATAATTAAAATTTAGAACTTTACAAACTACTGAGAATAAATTCTTTTAAATATTAACATATAAGTAATATTTTAGTTTATGTATATATTTTTAAATTTGTAATATTTTTAATTTTATTTAAAAGATCAAAATTATTAAATAAAAGTTTTATTTTAACAAATGTAACTGATGGTATACAAAAAAAAAACTATATCCAATTAGCTAAGTTAATCAAGTTAACGTCTATTAATATTATTACTACAAAAAAGATTATT